CACAGAGGGCAGGGCCACGCAGGCCAAGTGTTGACCAGGCCCATTTGCACTCTCTGGTAACAGGCAGATTGAAAAGATTTTGTTTCCACTGTGCACCTTCCCCAAGCAGTTGCTGGGGAGCCCTGCTCTGCGCCTGCCACCCCCTCCCTGCTCCAAGCCACAAAGCAATGTGCCAGGGGCAGGTCTCATGCCTTGTTCTGAGGCAGCACACCTGCTGCCCATCATGCTGGCCTCAGGGCAGCCTCAGCAGTGAGACCCCAAGAAGCTCCAGCCTCGGGGGGAAAAGAGCTGGAGGCTGCTTGCAAAAGAGGGAAGACTCAAGATGTCCCTCTGCCTGCGGAGGTGCAGTGTTTTTGTGTTTGTGTTCCTGCAGCGCACTAGTGCCTGTTGTGCCTCCTGCATGCCTGATGGCTCCTTACCCCCTTCTGTGTCTGCTTCCCCACTCTGGCCCTGATGCGACCAGCTGCTGGGAGACTGGAACTGCTGCCTGTTGCTGATCTGTCTTTAGGATCCACCTGATGGCTGGGCGGGTTCCCCTGGGTGCAGACCGGGCAGCAATGGCACGTGAGATGGAAACCACCTTCACTGAGAATCTCAGATATGCTGCTGACCTCCTGGCCCAGGTAAGTGGGGAACAGGTCCTACTCTGGGGGTGCAGCTCTTAGGGTATGAAAGATGGAGAGTCTGCCCCCAGCCTCGCGTGGGGAAGGAGCCCTGCCTGCTGCAGACGTGACAGGATGCTCTGCAGGGTGACATGACTGTGTTACAGGAAAACATGATTGGACTGGTGGAGCCTATTAACAACCGCATCACTGACCCTCGCTACTATCTGAACACACCCCACCAAGGTAAGGCAGACATCTCTCCCCAAATGTCTTCTCAAGGGAGGAGAAGGATCACCAAAATCTGAAAGGCAGGAGGTTGCGTCACCTGCAGGGAGGTGCTGAGAAAACAGTTGATGAAGGGAGGTCTCAGGGCTTCACTGTGAAACTTCAAGCCTGGAGTTGATGGTCTCTTCATTTCTTGCACCCTTAGCTGCTGCTATCCTGGAGAAGGTTGGACGACCCAACCTGAAGCTGCAGCTGGTGAGTTGGCACTGAAGATCTCCAGGGTCCATGCTTCACCAGCAAACCTTGCACAGCCCCCAGGGGAGTCCCAGGGGCTGTGAGCTTGTTATTCGCTCCTGGGGATGTGGGGAGGGACAGGGACCATAGTACAGCTGTCCTCGACTGCTCACTGCTGAACAGCTGCACTAGCCGTCTCCCCTTGCTCCCACAGGACATCTTTCACTGCCAGATCATGGATGGGAATCTGTCACGCAACCTGGAGACATACTTCCCACTCATTGGTAACATCCTGCACCCAAAGGGGCTCCCCTGTGGCCATGGGGCAGGAGTGACTTTGAGATGGGGCCCTCCTGCTCCACGCTCTGCTGTGGCTGCTTCTGGGTCACCTTGTCTCGTGCGTAGAGAAGGCTGCGTGTCCCACTTCCCCCCTAGGTCATATCCAGATTGCGCAGGTGCCAGAGCGGCACGAGCCTGACAGCCCTGGGGAGCTGAACTTCCCCTACATCTTCCAGCTCCTGGAGTCCTTTGGCTATACTGGCTACGTGGGGTGCGAGTACGCTCCGAAGGGTGAGTGGGCCTGCAGGCAGTCTGAGCCCCGCTGGCAGGTCCAAGCATGGACTGTCTGCCTGGGTACTGTGCAAAGACAAGTGGGTCCTGGGGGCTGGTGGGTAGCAGAGTCCCTGCCTGGGGGTGAAAGCCCTGCCCAGAGCAGAAGCTGCTTCAGCTTGCCTGGGGGTGCCAGCAGGAGACATTATCTGTTGCTACAGGAGACACCCTGGAAGGTCTGGGCTGGCTACGCTCATACTGGGAGAGCCAAGGGCTGCAGCCTAGTGGGACCAGCAAGGCAGCAGAGTAAAACAGGGAAACACTGGAATAAAAATCAAAGCTATGGCATAACAGAGGAGCACATCTGTCTTCTCTATGACTCAGGGGGTTGAAGAGTGGGATGGTTAGGAGCATTTACTTCCCTTCCATAGGCCCTGCTAGGACCCTCATCTATTCAGGGAGTGAAGCATGTCATATTTGGGGATGGCTTGGGCACCACTGTAGGTGACTTTGGGTATACAGGAGAACCTTCACTTCCTGGCTGCAGGGGTGTCCAGGGAAAGGCTCCCACTCTCCCTTGGAGGGGAGCATTTGCTTCTTGGTAAGGGTGTGAGTTTCCCCTGGTCCAGCTCCAGCTGCTGCCTGGAGCTGTGGGAAAGAGGGCCCTGGGCTTCCACCTCCTGCAATTTTCAAGGCTGCTGCCAGTGCCCAGTGCTGATGCTGCAGCAACCGGGGAAAGCGAAGCAATCAGCCCCTCGCAGGCTGCCCGAACCAAGGTAGGCTGGGAGCTGCCTGCCCACGGATGCTTGGGGCTGTCAGTCCTGCTGCTTCTGCTCCAGAGCAAGTGTGGGACTCTGGTGCAAGCCCAGCTGGCCCCACAGCCAGGGTTGTCTCTGCATCCCTTATGGAAGGTTTTCCACATCCTAGCCTACAGCACGTAAGCAGGGATCTGGTCCAGTTTATTTCACAGACGCATCGATGGCTTTAATATACAATATCTCCATAAAACCTTGCCCTGCTCCAGTTCACCCTCCTGTCCCATTCGGTGCTCTCCAGCCTCGCTGCCCAGAACCCCGACGTCCAGGAGCGGTGCCGCTGAAAGGCAGCGCGCTGCGCGGCCCCGCCCCGCGCAGCAGACGTGCTCTGTGCGCTCCTCTGTGCCTCCCCCCAGGCAGGAATCACCTGCAGGTGCCACAGCTGTGTCCCTGAGAATCGCTCTGCTTCAGCCAAGCCACAGCACCCAAGCTCCTGCCCCTGTGGTTCGGTTCCAGGTCACTCAGTATCAAACCCACCGAGAGGGGCACACCGAGGGCCAGGCCAGCCAGCCGGCGAATGACGTTGATGCACACCCCCAGGCTCCTGCTTCCAGCCGTGCTGCAGTGCTGGAGCTCAGGTCCTTCCCCATCCTCACCTGTGGCACTACCGCGCCAAGAGGCCCGGTACGCGTGCTGCTCCAGGGCGTGGGTGCCGGTGCTAGAGCAGGCCTGTCCAGAGGTTGAAGCAGGCAGTGTTGATAACTGACTCCAGGTGGTGGTATGTGGACACAAGCTGGGGCAAGGGGCTCTCGCTGTTCTGGGGCTGCACGGGGAAAGGCTCCCGGAAAACCACGGTGAGGCTCTGCCGAGATGGAGACACTGGTCAGGGGGCAGGGCTCAGAGAAGCGCTCTGCAGTCCCTAGCCCAGGTGCGTGGGCACTTTTTTGGTGGTGTCAGACAGAAGTCCCAAAATGCCAATGGCACTAAGCTAGTGCCTCCCTCCAGTTTTCCTGGTGGAAACTAGGTGCAAGGACTTGCCCACTCACTCTGTCCCAGCCCCCACACATCTGCAGTTGCACCAATCCCAGCAGCAGCCTCAGGAGAGGAGGGGATCCTACTGCCTGCACAGTAAATAGGTGCTTCCAGGGAAATTAGAGGGAAATTTCTTCCTCTAAGACAAGGAGTAGGAGTGCAACAAATGGGAAGGGGAGGAGGATTAAGTGTAATAACTACAATCCTAAAAATAAATGCCGGCTGCTCCATTATTGTTAGTGACTGTACTGACAAGGCAGGGCAAGGACAGAGGGGAGCAGAGAAGAGGGTTCAGAAGAGAAGGTTGCTGGTGCTGAAGCAGAAGAAAAATGCGAGTGACTCAGTGCACTCAGATCACCGTCATGGAGGCAAGACACAGGGACTGCATGTTCTCCAGAGCTGAAACACAGCACACCTAGTAGCCACGGTCCCCTAACCAAACTCACGGAGCCATGAGAACAGCCATGTGACTGCAGAACAGCAAATGCACCACCATCATTTAAGAGGGAAGTGATCTGTGATCCTAACTCCAGCGGTGTGCGAGGCTTTAGAGCAGGCTCGGAGAGAAAGAACGACAAAGAAAATGCAGCTTGGTTTTACCAAAGTGATGTGATAATGCTAGAGTCCCCTTTGATAAGGTAATAATTCTAGAGAAAGGAAACATGGTGTATCTTATCTGAGCTTCAGGAAGGATGTGAGGTAGTGCCCCATGAGAAATTTAGGTAAGTTGAAAAGATATGAATTAATGCAAAAACTATAAGATGAAGATGGTAGTGCTGAAAGGGGAAGTAGCTGGCTGGAGAGGGGTTACAAATGGAGGTCCTCCAGGACAGGTTTCAGGACTCACGTTGCCTGGTACTTTAATGAGCCTGGCACAAAATTGAGCATGCTGATAAAATTCGAGGCACTAATACAAAAGAGCATTGGGATAATCTAAAAGAAGCTCTAGAGACTTTTGAGAGGCCACAGGAATGGGATGAATGTCCAGCACAAAATACAAGGTGAGGGACACAAAGTATTTCTGTTAGAAGATGGGAGTCACTGAGAGGTAATGGAGGGGGGTGGGTGTATATTGTATCAATGACCACAAGGTGACACTATGACCAGTGAGACATGACCAGGAAAAGGCAAGCAGCACCCTCGGCTGTACCAGAAGCACCTGGCAGGGACAGAAAAGCTTCAGTGCAATTGCAGAAGACTCCGCTGAGACTCCTCAGGAACACTGCACACAGTTATGGACACCTGTATTTACAAAGGTTGACCTGAAGCCTGAAGGGCTCTGAATGACAATGAAGCCTTTGGGGAAGGGAAGGGAGGCTTATGAGCTCAGTTTACTTCACACAGCAACACAGAGTTAGCAAAAATTTCACCTTCAGATGTAGAGGTGAATCCAGGAGACCAAGGAGGAAGCAGGTACAGGCACAGTGGAAAGCAGTTTCAGCTCTGAGCTACCACTGGCATGAAGAAGATAGAACTGGCCAGGGCAAAAGCCCCAGCACAAAGTGGGAATGACTCTTCATCATCAGGTGGCAGGAGACACTAAGCAGCCTTCCAGCAGGCACCACCTCTTCTGTCTCCCCTACTTGGTTTTAAGATAGAGCATGCTCTCTTTATAAAGGGATTGGTTATGATGCAGTCTCTGCAAACACCTCACTGTGGACTGAAGCATCTGGTAGATCCCCTGCTCTCAAATGGAGGTGCATTTCCATGCACCCATCTTCCCATGGGTCCGTCCTGCACCCTGCCTGGGAGCAGTAAGTCAGGGGACGTTACTGATGCCAGAAATTAACCAAAGGAAATAAAGCCATAGAGGGCTATAAAGGAAATGAAAAGGCCAGTTCTAGCTCAGGATGGGCCTGAGCCAGATTGTTAGATGTTGGGGCAGTATTTAGGCAAGGTGTTACAAGCTTCTTGACCTGCTCTTATTCTCCCTGGGGCCAGTGCTGGATGAATGCAGACAGACCCCTGGCCTGAGCCAATACAACTGCTCTTATGTTTCCAAGTTCTTACCGTCTTTCCCGAATGGGAATCGAGGAACACAAGAACGAAGCAATCTGTGAACTTCTGGTTGAGCACAACCTGTCAGGAGAGTCAACAGCACACGTTGGAAAGGAGACAGTACAAGCCCCAGGACAGGGATTCAAACGACACCCACTCAGGGATGTGCTGGCATGCAGGACGAGTGGCACGACAGAGCCGTGAAGGTGCAAGTCTGCCTGGCTCACAGGTGCCACTGCCAAACCACGGGGCTATACATGGCCCGGCTCTGCGGGTGCGAGTCCTGCCGGCCTGGGGGCACACGGACTGACAGACACTGCTGCCCCACCGGCACGCACACCTCACGCTGCACCAGTGGCGGAGTGGAGAGCAACACCCTGGTGGCACCCACGCTGTCCTGACAGCACGAGCCAGGCTCACACTGAGAAGGCAGAGCGGGCAGGGCCCTGGGCAGGGGTGAGGCTCCAGCGGGGCGCCAGGCTGTGTCTTACCAGGTACTGGGTGCCGGTTTCAGCGTTGTGGAAGTGCCGACAGCTCTGGGGAAAGCGGCTCAACAGCACTTTGATGAGGCTCTGGTACCAGGAGACCGTCATGGTGAGGAAGGAGTCCTTCCGACATACAAAAGGGCGCCATGGCACAGCAACCATAATGCTACAGCACCCTACAGACCCCACGTCAGATACATCCCTCACAGCCCACTGAGGCATGCTGACCTGGGGCTATTCACTCTCCATAGACAGGTCCATGCAGCCTCCCCATTCCCCGGCCAGCGAGGGGCTACATTCCTGCCTCTACCTTCCCACCAAGCAGGAAGAGACAGGCCCTGCAGGCCCTTCACCCTCTACCCCACTCCATCCCCAGAGCAGACCAGTGGCTGCTGTGCACCGTGACTCCATCCCTGCTGCTCACCAGCTGGGGGTCCACGTCAGCAATGGATTTCCCATGCACGGCATCAAGCAGCTCCTCCAGCTCCACCAGCGAGAGCTTGCCTAGCTTTAGCTTGTCAGAAGCCAGAGGCTCCAGAAGGAAGAGGCGCTTCCAGAGGTTGTCCCTGCGGCAGTGGCACTTGGCCAGCTGCACCATGCTGCTGAGCTGCTTCTGGGCCGACGCCACCTCGGAGGCCA